CAGGACTGCTTAAAAGAAGATCCTGAAACTCTATTTGACAGTTACTAGTACATTACTAGCATCATTACAAGCAGTTCTGCCAGAAAATCCTTTTTTAGGTCACATATTCCAAAGGCATTACGGTAAGTATTTTCAGACAATTTGAGGTGCTTATTAATCTCGCACCAAAAATGCAAAGTGTTCGCTCGCCACCGGACTCGAACCAACAACCTCTCGCCTCTGATGCCAGAGGCCACCCACTACACCATTATGCCACCAAATCACATAGCAGGGTCCACAAACTCAAAGGGCGCCCCCAAAACAGCAAACCAGGATTTTCAGGCTCCCATAAATCTCTTCAGAAGGGCGTTCCGCAGAAAGAAAGCAGATTTGAAATCAGCGTTTGAAGCTGATTCAGATGATATGCATCTCATATCAAACGGCCACGGCCACTAGAAGTACTTCCCTGGTAAGTTATTTCTATGCTATAATTTAGGAAGGAAATGTTTCTATGATAGCGTCTGCTCCAACATGCTCTGAGGAGCTATTCGGTAAGTTCTCCTTTTGCAAGCAAATTGTGAAAGACATCAAAAACGGGCATTTCAGATTGCGAAAAGCCTTCAGATTTCTGTGATGACTCCTACGATAATCAAGACAGGTATGACTCAAATCTACAATCTTTCTGCCCTTTCTTCGAATTTTGTAAATGTGTTGTCAGTCTAATCTCTCGTTTTAGAATGGAAAAACTTGAGAACTGCGTCATGCAAGGAGAGACTCGCTTATCAAGAAATCGTGGATGCTACCTATGTGGTCTGGTTCGCGCTGAAGATGAAAGTCGTTGGGGTTCCATGAATCATCGGCAGAATTTGGTGTTTATGTCGTGTTTGATCTCATGCGGGATTATCAAAGCCGAAGTAGCTAAAGAAGTATTCCACCGAATAGGCTCCGGACGTAAACGACTATGCAAATTACATTACATACAGGCGGTGAGATTTTGAAGAATAATTTTTTTGTGATTTTTTTGCAGTCATACGTACCGTAGCCGAACACGTTTTTGAGAGGTGTAGCCACCTGCATTCTGGCTATTGAAGGCAGCGTCCAAACAAATCTGGACATATGGGGACCTTATGTGGAAAGTAATCT